GCAGCTCGATGTTGCGGTCGCATCTCGAACGGGAACACGATACTGAGACCAGCAGTAGGGTGGACGGAAAGCACGACGTCCAGAGTCAGCGGTTTCTCCGCTTCCGAATCCCGTTTTGCCTCTTTGTCAGCCATGAAACGCTTGAACTTGGCGCTTGTCGTCATCACCTCACGTGTGATGATAGATTTGTCCAGCTTCTCCAGCCCCGAGCCAGTGATGTTAGCCCCAAAACTGCGTGCCAGGAGCCGTGAAATGAAAGCGTATTGCCGTAGCGTGGGAAGCATGGCGACCAGCTGGCGTGGATGCGAGAAAGGCAGCTCACTGATGGTCTGTCCATACACAGGCTTATACACGAAGAGCGTATTCTCATGCCTGCGTCGCTGTGGTGCCCCCGAGACGAAGACGTCCCTCTCGCAGGATATCGTACGGAGCTCGCTAGCGTCATGATTCTGTCCATCGACGATGGGGAACGATATGCCGTCAAATGTGTAGCTTGGGAGCATCATCGGCGGTGGCTGCGCGCCGCTCAGGTTGTACAATGCATTGCAGACAGCCTGGGGCACGATGACTGGGGGGTTGAGTGTTGCAACGAACTTGACGTTGGGGTATCGCTGCGTGGTACCGTCTGGCTGGACGACTTCCACTGCAACCGCCTTGTTGTCGGAGGCTGGTGGGAGGACCGTAGGTGCCGGTTCCAGCCAGTCCAACAGGGGACCATTGGAAGGTTCCAATAGATCTGTGGGCACAGGGTCGGTCTTTTCAATTTTTTGGGATATCCAGTCCTCGGAAATTCGGATAGGGGGGTAGAGCTCGCCGTCCAAGGGTCTGCATCCGACTATGATAGACCAAATCTGTTCGGCGTTTGCGCAGTACGTCTCGGTCGCTGGGATCTTGGGTGGTACAAGGTGCCGTTCGGCCCAGTAATCAAGAGACAACCCGACCTGGTCGCGCGCATGCATGGCGGGACGGCCGCTTCTTGAACATTGGACGGTCCTCTCCAGTAGAACGTCTGGCTTTCCTGTCATGGCCGCGTCCTCCTTGACCCGTGCCAACTCCCAATTATATAGCCTTTCCAGGCTCTCAAAGATGCCCGCAACTGCTTCTTGGCAGTCCAAGCCAGGAAATATGCTAAGCTTGTCCAGTGTTGCAAGCCGTTCGAGATTGGCAGCGAATTCGTCTATCTTCTTCGTCAGTGGACTTTGGTCTGGCAGAAGCTGCAAGTCGCGTAGCAAAATCTGCCCCGCGCTGTCGACGTGTTTTGCGACAATGGGTGACTCGGACTCAGGAAACGCAAGCGTGACGCCTTCCACAATATTGTTGTCGAGGATGATGTCTAGTTGGAGGCCGTGGCCAGCAATCACTAATGTCTTCTTTACTTTGCCGTCAGGCGTTCTGTGGTCTTCCCAAATCTTGTTAAGTCCTGTACGCTGAGACAGGCGTTCGAGGCCAGCTTCGCTGACGCGTCCTTTAGCGTTCTGTTTGCCGCTTTGGTTAGCCATGTTCTTCCAACGCCTGGGAACGGGGTTGTTGATCGGGGGCACGAACTCCGATAATGTCGATGATCGTATCCAGACGCTTGATTCTGTCGTCCTCGCCAGTAAGACCCCCGATACCACCGAGCCCGTTGACGCTGACGTTGTCCAGGCCTAGGTCCATCCCGCCTCCGATGCCAAGCGCACCCATAGCTGCTGCTGCTGAGGGGCTGTCAAAGTTGAGAGGCGCATTCGTGTGACCCATTAGTGTTGCCGACGTCGCTGGCGACTTCTTAAATTGCTGCGGGGATGACTTGGGCCCTCGAGGGGAAAATGCGATGTGCGCATACGAGAAGGGCGTCGATACTGGCGGGGTCGCTGCTGGGAAAACGGACGGAGTGCGTCCCTGCTGCGGCAGGCCGGGTTTCGGAGCCTTGTCTGCCAACTTTTCCCCTGGCGTTGGAGTTGCCATTTTTCTAGTTTCCTCAGAGCAGTTTCGTATGACGATGTTGGTAGGTGATATCCAAAACAGAACGGACGTTGGAGGTGGCTGGCAAGAGTCTTCCACGGCGTGGCTGTCGGTAGTCTGAGTAGGATGAAGCGATTTGCTGTTGTTAGTGATGTCGGGTGGCCCTTGGGTGGGTTTAATAGCAAAACAGAGTATGTAGGCAAATGCTAAATTGTTCTTGTAGAGGCAAGGTAGGTGGGTAGCTGAGGTCAACATTGGCGAGGTGGGTCGAAGAAGAGGTCGGTCCTCACGGTAGCAGCCTATGCGAGATCTCGCGCTAAGGACACCCCAAAGTGGGGGAAAATATGTACCCCCCGATGCACCCAAAACCTCGAAGTGCAACGAGACTATAGAAACCGTGGAAATGCCACTCGTCATGTCATAGTAAAATCAAATGGTCAAGAGTATGGGATGGAACATGTTAGAGCGCTAAAAAAAAAAAAATTAACGCAAGGCATCACAGGCACATCGAATTGTCGATTGCAGTGCACACATGTGCAGCCCACAGGTCGGGGTGCACCAAACCTGGATGCCGCCGTCCACGGGCCAGCCTACCTACATACGTCTCCTACACATGCCAGACCTCAGCCAAGCGGCAAAACCATCCCTCGTTCAGGATCAGTCTGGCCCTTTCTCAAGCTTTGTGGCCCGGCTCGAGAGCACACGTTCCTGGTCCCTCCCCAAAGTATGTTTCCGACACACAACCGACGAGATGCGGCGCCCTCGAAAAAGGTTCGAGTGTTGCGCCTCGTGGCTACAACGAGCCAGCCCTGAATGCAACGAAGGAAGCAGTGTGATCCTCCAGTGCCCGACTACCGTTTCCAAATACCTCAGGTGTTGCCATCTTTCCTTGGCTTGGAGAACAAGGAACTACCCCCTTCATGAACAAGTCTGCAGAACAAGCACGAACCTCTGTGTCCTCGCCTAGACACCAGGCTTTGAACATGATCCGTTTCTGTGCACTGTTTGGTCATGTGGTCTGAATTTGGCACGGGAAAACAATAACCGCATTCACGTTTTCGGGGTAAAATCGTTCAAGAAGCCTTTTATTGTATTCATGGGATCGTTACCGAAAGGACGTTTCCAACACACTTTTGTAGAAGTTAATAAGTCGTTATCATCATAAATAGTACCTCAAGGTATGTGCCGCCTCCAGCTTCCAGCCGGTGCATGCCCTTCTGTCTTGAGCATTCACCTCCATGGCCAAAGGTTTAACCGCGATATGGTGACCACCGAGGCAGATCCTGGCAAGTTTGCTCTCCCCGAATGTCATGCCAGGCAGAGTTCTCACCGTAGGCCTATGATGGTCGACCCCGGTGTGTCAAACCTCCGGGTTCTGTCGAATCGAATGAACAAAAAAGTCGAGAGTCGAGGCAGACCTCGCTCGGGCATTAGGTCCTTCCATGCAAAGCGTGAATCATCAGACATCTACAGCCCGTGATGGTAGGTTCTGGAAATGAAAACGGTACGTCGTAAGGTCATCAGCGCATCGGGCAGAGCACAAGGCGCTGACGTCATGTTGCGAATACAAGGTAAAAAAGGAGAATTGAGAGAAGGAGTGTTGAGGGGAAGCAGAATCTGGTGCCTCCCCAATGTTCTGACCCACGAAAGTTTCGTGGACATGCCGCGGAAAATCGTGACCACAACGCCGCGGGATGCTGTGACGAAAAGTGCAGTCAGGGTGGCATAGCAAACTAGGTTAACGGTTTGCTGCTTCATCTCCGCCGCGTGGGAGCGACAGTCGCGGAAGCTGGCCTAGCCATAGCATCGTAACCGGTTGCAGGGATGGTCCCATCAATGAGCGTCTTTCGTCGCTTCATTTCCATGCCGGGACCGCCGCTCAGGGGCCGCTGGAGATCATCTTCATCCTCGCGTCCTCGCTTGATACCACTGCTGCCGTTCAGCACGGGCTGCTGCGAAGCATAACCGTTGGACATGGAGCCAATGTCAGCTGATGGGGCGTAAACGTCACTACCAGCCGAGCCACCTGTTGCGCCTCGGTCATTGCTCATGACGCTGTAGAGATTGCTGGATGGCTGCTGCTGAACCCGAGGAGGGGTGCTGTAGCCGGGCTGCTGGGAGTAGTACGGCTGGGGAGGCGCGGCCGTGCGGGGCGTCGCACGTCCAGACGTCGGGGCGTGGCTGGGAGATCCCGTCATCTCGGGCGACAAGTGGTGTTCGGAAGACAAAGCTCCAACAGGGGGTGCGGCGTAGTTATAAGAAGCTCGGTTACCGTCGTAAGCTCCACTATCATGGGTGTACTCGGCATCCTGCTCATGTTCGGCCTCATCGTCGCCGCCTTGGTGACTGACACCGTGTCCATTCTGGTCCGAAGACGAGATAATGCCGTTCGTAGCCTTTTGGTCCACGGGAGCGCCGGGTCCTGCAGGGCGCGACGAAGGAGGACCCATGTCATTTTTGCCGTATGGGTCGTTGTGTCCGTATAAGGAGCGCTCCTGTGGGCCAGGGTTTGTTGTCTGATACGGTGACTGCTGTGAGGATGCATTGTACATAGGTCGGGAGTTGTCATAAGACTGGCTAGCAGCGGGATATTGCTGCATACTCTGAATAGACGATCCGGGGGGCGTGGTAGCAGGTGTAGCTGGCATCGAGCGCGCGCTGCTCAACCCAGTGTCAATGGACATGGGGTTCGCATTTTGCGCGCTGCCTATACCTTGACCCTGCTGGGCCCACTGGAAGCCATCTGAAGTGCCCATGTTGCCGCCCATGACGCTCGAAGCACTGGTCGGAGGCGTCGGGAAAGTGTGAGCTCTGTCCAGCGAGGGTCGTCCCATGTTGGAGTGAGACGGAAGCGGCTGCTGGGGGCCAGGAAGTCCCATCGAGTGGTGGTGGTGATGCTGCTGAATAGGTGCCAGGCCTGGGCCCGATTGAGAGTTGCGCATCTGGTTCTGTTCCTGCTTTCGACGCTCGGCCGAAGCCATGACTTGGTTGGTACGGTTCTGGTTGGTGGGGTGGTACAGGAGGGCGCCGATGTTGTGGACGAAGAGGGGGTACAGAAGCTCTGTAATCTTTTCCTTGTTTGCGAAATCGAGAGCCCTCTCGAACGGGATCCTGGGAATTCGTCAGAAACGAGTGGCTCAAGCTGAGCAGGAAGAATGTAAAACTTACCACACGCCCTTGAGGTGCATGGGCCCGATTTTCACGACGTGTCTCAGCTTTTCACTCTTCAAGATACCATCCCTGCGACCACGGGTCATGCCAGCCACGTTGAGAAGCTTCGTACCATTGATCATATGGTTATCTGCAATTCCGATTAGTGATGCATTCCTGAAGCGAAGGTTCACGTGTCCGTTCATGCGTACCTTCGCGACGAGCAACGCAAATACCGCGCGCCTCAACTTGGAAGCACAGACTGCCTTCGTCTTCCCAGAGTGTTGCCGTCACTCGGGGCTTCATGCCAGGTGGCGCCACCTGGCCTGTCGTGTCAAATCCCTGGTAAGCATTGCCGTTGGGAGGCGCGGGCAGCGGCAGCACATTTTGAGACGCGCCCATCGAGTTTCCAACGTTCGGGTGGGCATTTTGGGGCGAAGCCATGCCATTGGCATAACCATAAGGCTGACCGTACTGTTGGGCGGGAGGCGCAGGGTATTGGGGCAAATGGCTTGGCTGCAACGGAGGAGGTTGTTGCTGGTGGTGGTAAGACATGCCCGATGTTACTGTCTGGTTGGAGGGAGGCTGGCCTGCAGACATATGCTGTTGGTAGTACATTTCAGCGGCTGGTTGGTTCATAGTGGGATACTGTTCGTATCCTCCAATTGATTGGCTTGCAGATCCTGGAATGGTGGTCGTGACGGGCAGGTTAGGAGAGGGGGTTTTGGGGCCGTTGGAGGATGCAGCCGAGGTGAATGACGACTGAGAACCGAGGTGGGAGCTGGCTGCTGAACCGATGGAGCTGACCCGAGGTGACGATGTCCCCGAAGAGGAGTAGGCCTGGTGTTGAGCGGGCAATGGCAGAGAAGGTATTCTCTCGGTACCCATGTACAGCGGCCGTTGGTTAGAGGGGGCGTTGTAGTATGACACGTCGGCCAGGCCCCGGGTCTGCACGTGGGAAATCGGAGGGAGATCCAGCTTCACGGTAGTGCTCAAAGGCTGGTGTCAAGCACACACTGTCGAGAGGTTGAGATGCAGGGCTTGCTTGCGGAAGCGGCAGCAGACACTTGTGAGCGATTGTGGGCGGTCGTGGATCGAAGAAGCGTCCAGACAAGGCAGCAGTCGTCAGGGGCAATCGTTGGTCTCGTAAAAAGTCGTTAACGTTGGCGCTCGTGGTGATCGTGACATCCGTCGGCAGACCGTGAGAACAGAATCTTCTTTCAAAATCTCGGCAGACGAGCGAATTGAGCGGGCAAGCCGAGCTAAAAGCACAGGACAGAGACAGGGGAGGAGGTAGACCGGGCGAGAGATGCTCGGGACTGATCTTTCTGGGAGGAGGGGGCGGTGGCTTTCGTTTGAGTTGGTTCACAAGGTCGTAGGTGGTGACAGCTCGGGAAGGCTCAACCCTTTAAGTCTAGATACGAATGTGAATCAGCTCCCGCATTCGTGGGGTCTATTTCCGTCGGTAAGCGGAGGAGGACAAAGATAGAGTTGAGGGTGGAGGGCGGCCGAGGGCAAGAGATGCAGAAACAGGATGCGCGATGACAAGTGGAAGAGGAGTTGGGGCAAGTTGCGTTTTTGGTTTTGGCTTGGTTGGGCTGAAGTGAAAGGCATGGATGGAGGGACAGGCGGCGCGGGCAAGACGACATTGTAAGCGAAAACAGTACTAACCTTCCTCTCCGTTTTCACGGGGGGGACACGACCTGCTGGGATAGGGAGCGAAAGGGAAGGGGAGAAGGAATAAGAGGTGGTTGGTGTGTCGTGAAGTGGAAAGGAAAAGGGAAAGGTCCTGGCGAAGGACGGATGGTTTTGTTTTTTGGTGGTGAGGAAGAGGAGGAGGCCGGTCAAGGTCGATACCCAGACACAAGCAGATCCCGGCCGGAGCGGGCAGGATGAGGATGAATGGGCAGGGTTGAGCGAGGTACAAGTGCTAGGGGGGCAGTTCGGGGAGGCAGGATGTACCGGCCAGACCGCAAACGCCAGCCCACAACCCACGGGGGTTCAAGAGTGTAAGGGTAAGGAGGAGTCGCAGAGGGGGAGCACTCACGAGCGGGCGAGCGAGAGAGCGGCAGCGCAGGCCACTGGGGGGCCTGTACCCAACATGGAGCGCACTGAGCACGTAGCACCCCTTCACTGAGCGGCGGCGAGAGGCGCAGGTGCCAGGGAGCGGTGGAAGCAACAACGGACTTGTCCTGGGCTGGTCCAGGTGGAGAAGGCAGCGTGGGTCCTGGAGCGTGGAGCCTGGAGCTTCAACCCGACCCTGGTAGCTCTTGCCCAGCAAAAGAGCGCGGGTGACAGCGACAAGGTTGTGGTGTCAGTTTAGGCTTAGCACCGACAAGACCGGCCCCAGTCAGTCGCAATACCAGCCTGTAAAAAGACCGGGTATAGGAGTGTGCAAGCGTAGGGAAGGGGTGGGTACGTAGTGGCTCTCTTTTTTTTTCTCGCTCTCTCTCTCTCTCTTTCTCAGTCGCTCTCTTGCCTGGTCGAAAGGGACCAGCCCCCCCTACCCTTGCTCTTTGCTTTCGTTCGTCTGTGTGCCCACCGCTGTCCATGTTGGAGATTCGCGATCTGCCAGAAGGTGCCTTGACCGACCAACCAGCCGACAGGACGTTGTACCCAGGGCGGCTGAGTCTGGCCACTTGTGGCGGCAAAAGTCGCTCTTCATTGAGCCCGTCCAGACTCACGAAGACATGTGTCCATGCGCATGACCCGGCCTTCGCCTCCTGCTGTTTCAATTGAAGACCAGCTCTGTCCTCGCGCCAAAAACCTTCTTGTCCAGTGGTCCACCGTCAGTACCAATTTCTTGCCCAGTTGAGGGGAGGAGGGGGCTAGGTAGGACAACGCAACTAAGCTAGCCGTCGCTGCTCGGTACGATGTAGGTGGGGACGTGGGAGGTTGAGAGGGGAAAGGCGGGCCACTGTTTCTCGAGACCCAGTCTTGCCAGTGTGGGTTGAGGTGGGCAAGGCGTCAGTCAGGACAGGGGGTCTGACTGCTCTTCATCCTGGGGAGGGTGTGAGGGACA